GCAGTATTTTAAAGAAACCTTATTGAGGGCGCAGGAACAAACCATCCCGATGTGCAGAAAAGGATAGCAAATATGGCAGGCGACCAGCTTGGCTTAACAGAGAAATCTTCAGTGAGCTTAAACACAAAAAGGAAGCTTACAAGAAGTGGAAACTCGGACAGATGACTAGGGAGGAGTATAAAAATATTGCTTGAGCATGCAGGGGTGTAATCAGGAAGGCCAAAGCACAATTGGAGTTGCAGCTAGCAAGGGATATGAAGGGTAGCAAGAAGGGTTTCTACAGGTATGTTAGCAACAATGTCAGGGAAAGTGTGGGACCCTTACTGAATAGGGGTGACAGATGATGTGGGAATAGCTGAAGTACTCAATGCTTTTTTTGCCTCGGTCTTCACAGACAAGGTCAGCTCCCAGACTGCTGCACTGGGCAGCACAGTATGGGGAGGAGGTGAGCAGCCCTCAGTGGTGAAAGAACAGGTTAAGGACTATTTAGAAAAGCTGGACGTACACAAGTCCATGGGGCCGGATGCAATGCATCCGCGGGTGCTGAGGGAGTTGGCTGATGTGATTGCAGAGTCATTGGCCATTATCTTTGAAAATTCATGGCGATTGGAGGAGATCCCGGATGACTGAAAAAAGGCAAATATAGTGCCCATCTTTAAAAAAGGGAAGAAGGAGAATCCAGGGAACTACAGACCGGTCAGCCTCACCTCAGTCCCTGGAAAAATCATGAAGCAGGAACAGTCAACATGGATTCACCAAGAGCAAGTCATGTCTGACCAACCTGATTGCCTTCTATGATGAGATAATTGGCTTTGTGGATATGGGGAAAGCGGTGGACGTGATATACCTTGACTTTAGCAAAGCTTTTGATATGGTCTCCCACAGTATTCTTGCCAGCAAGTTAAAGAAGTATGGATTGGATGAATGGACTATAAGGTGGATAGAAAGCTGGCTAGATCGTCGGGCTCAGCAGGTAGTGATCAATGGCTCAATGTTTAGTTAGCAGCTGGTATCCCCAGGGGTCGGTCCTGGGGCCAGTTTTTTCAACATTTTCATTAATGATCTCGATGATGGGATGGATTGCACCCTCAGCAAATTTGCGGATGACACTAAGCTGGGGGGAGAGGTAGATACGCTGGAGGGTAGGGATAGGGTCCAGAGTGACCTAGACAAATATGAGGATTAGGCTAAAACAAATCTGATGAGGTTCAACAAGGACAAGTGCAGAGTCCTGCACTTAGAATGGAAGAATCCCATGCACTGCTATAGGCTGGGGACTGATTGGCTAAGCGGCAGTTCTGCAGAAAAGGATCTGGGGATTACCGTGGATGAGAAGCTGGATATGAGTCAACAGTGTGCCCTTGTTGCCAAGAAGGCTAACGGCATATTGGGCTGCATTAATAGGAGCATTGCCAGCAGACTGAGGGAAGTGATTATTCCCCTCTACTCGGCACTGGTGAGGCCACATCTGGAGTATTGCATCCAGTTTTGGGCCCCCCACTACAGAAAGGATGTGGACAAATTGGAGAGAGTCCAGCGGAGGGCAACAAAAATGATTAGAGGGCTGGGGCACATGGTTTATGAGGAGAGGCTGAGGGAACTGGTCTTGTTTAGTCTGCAGAAAAGAAGAGTGAGGGGGGATTTGATAGCAGCCTTCAACTACCTGAAGGCGGGTTCCAAAGAGGTTGGAGCTACGCTGTTCTCAGTGGTGACCGAACAAGGAACAGTGGTCTCAAGTTGCAGTGGGGGAGGTCTAAGTTGGATATTAGGAAAAACTATTTCACCAGGAGGCTGGCGAAGCACTGGAATGGGTTACGTAGGGAGGTGGTGGAATCTCCATCCATAGAGGTTTTTAAGGCCCAGTTTGACAAAGCCCTGGCTGGGATGATGTAATTGAGGTTGGTCCTGCTTTGAGCAGAGGGTTGACTAGATGACCTCCTGAGGTCTCTTCCAACCCTAATCTTCTATGTTTCTATGGAGAAACTCAGGAATCTTCTGTTCCCTTTCAGACTCTGGAAGGGAGTGTCAAGTGGGCACAAACACTTATGCCCATTTGCCCCCAACCTCCCCGCAAGCTTTACCCCTTCCGTCTTGTTCCCTCTGACCTGTCCCTAGTTCAGTGCTGTCTCTTTCCCACCTTTGGGTCCTTGATCCAATCTCCACTCTTTAGGCTTCTCATCCCAGCCCCAATCTCCTTGCTCAGCCAATCCTCCTTCTGGGCTTGCTGTCTGAGTCCCAGTCACTTCTCCTCCCCTCAGACAGTCCCACTGTCCTTGCCCAGCCAGTCCCAGTTCTTGCCTCCTGGCTCCTCATTTCTCCTGGCTCTCCCTCCCCAACCACTGGCTCCCAGTCTCCCTCCTTGGTCTCCTAATCCAATTTTAGTAGGATCCCCCTGCCTTCCTGGCTCCTTGTCCTGGTGTCCTCTGTCCCTGGTTATCTATCTCAGTCTCTTTGGCCAGCCAGTCCCAGTTATCCCCTTTCACTCCCAGCCCCTTGTCAGATCTGTCTCCCCCCTTCACCTGGTCCTTAGTCCCAGTCTTTGTGCCCAACCAGTCCTATTCTTCCCCCATCTAGTCACTGGGGGAGAGGGATAGCTCAGTGGTTTGAGCATTGGCCTGCTAAACCCAGGATTGTGAGTTCAATCCTTGAGGGGGCCATTTAGGGATCTGGGGCAAAAATCTGTCTGGGGATTGGTCCTGCTCTGAGCAGGGGGTTGGACTAGATACCTCCTGAGGTCCCTTCCAACCCTGATATTCTATGATTCATGAGGGCACTAGCGCTTTAAAAAGACATGGTACCAAGAATTTTTATAACATGCGCAAAAACAGATTTCCCCCAGCCTTGTTCTCAGAAACAGGTGAACTGTTTTGGCTGAACTTAATAAAAAAAAAAAATCAGCCTGACCACCTGGCATGTAAAATTTCTTCTCAAATTATTTAGCTTTGGCAAAGTTATAAGTAACTAAAAACAGAGTCTTATAGTGTCGGGCAGCCTTAATAATAGGCAGTGCTACTAGTCCTGCCTATAATAATTGTTGAGAAATGGAGCTCTCACTGCCCTGCTTGGTTTTGGGTCAGACATATTACAAAAAAATGCTTCCCTTGTTACCAAATTGTCACTTGCTTTGTCTGGCCCTGCGTAGGCAAATTACTTGTAGGCCTCAAGTTCCTGGCAAGCTGACAAAACAGTCCTTCAGCCCCAAAGCTTAGAAGCCTGTGCCCTATGGAGAGGTTTTCTTAAAATTACATTGCGCTTCGAAGCAGTACACGCACGTAAGGGTTAAACTGGGGATACTTGACTGCCAGGTAAGTCTACAGTGTTGAACTAAGGGAACTGCTGGAGGGCAAATCATGAGTAGGACCCCAGATGCCAAGTGTCTGAATGAGGTGCCACTCTACTGTTGTAATCGGATGATTGATCTTTATGTGCTATATCTTGATTTAGCTTCGTACTGCACTGCCCAGAACATTAGCATTGCAGTCACAGTGTATATTGTATCATTTCTTTGTTCCCTAGGAAACTTAGGAGTGCCAGCCTGCATTTTGGATGCCTTTCCTGGTAACTTATCTTTAGGATACAATATCATTTGTGGCAAGCAGAGGGCACATAATGACGTACAGTCACAATCTCCTAGTTATGAGAAAAGTCCCAGAATGGCCAGTGTCAGAGTAGCAGCATAGCATCATCATGAGTTCATTTCTGTCCTGCCAACCACAGGGTTTGGGGGAGGGAGAGAAAGGGAGACCCAGCCTCAATCAATTATCTGGAACGACCCATCATCTCTAAAATGGGAAGAAAATAACGTATAAAAGTATACCTTGTGAGGTATTATTTTAAAAGGCTTGATCTGTTGAACATTAATATCCTGTTGGATTATATGTGCTATAATTGTATGTGAAGTTATGAAATATTATTAGATGTGTTACTGAAATATATTGTGAGGTTGGGAACACCCACAACCAGCCTTTCAGTCACAACAAAGGAGTAGCCATCAATAGTCAGGTGGCATTAATGGCTCATCAACATATAATCCACTACCCTAGAGACTTCTCGGAGAAGGCACGTATGCCGTGGGGGCGGACTAACACACATTACAGCAAGGATCTTTCTAGCAAGTTGGAAGAAGGTATAAAAAAAGAGAGAAATCATTACTTGGCCTCTCTCCCCTCCCCCCCAACTCAACACCTGGAAGAATGTCTGGAAGACAAAAGACTTTGAACTGAGGGAGTTTGGTCCCAGGCTGGAAGGGTGCCCAGTCTGTATATTGAGGAACTGTAACCTGATTGTGACATCTGTCAGGGTGAGAAAAACTGTTTGATTCAACTCTTGCTTAGACTAAAAGTTTAGGGATTTAGAATGCGTGTTTACTTTTAATTTTTTTAAGGTAACTGTCTCTGACCTTTATGCCTACCACTTATAATCACTTAAAATCCATCTTTCTATAGTTAATAAACTTATTTTAATGTTTTAGCCTTACCAGTGAGTTTGTCAAAAGTGCTTGGGAAATCTCAGCTTAGGTTACAAAGGCTGGTGCATGTCCACTGTCCTATGAAGAAGTGAAGAACTAAGCCATTAACTTACACTGGTCAGGCTTCGGACCAGTGCAAGACGATACAGTCTGTGACTCTGTGAGTTCTGATGTACAAGACTGGGGAGCTGGGGAGAACTGGCTGGAGCCTCTAAACTGATAGTTCCATGAGTGGCTGGGAGATCATTCATGTAACACAGCTGGGTGTGTCCCTGCCTGTGGACGGCTGTGTAAGTGCAGTGACTGTCAGAGGTTTGTAGCTTGACATCCGTATCACAGTGCAAGAAGCAACCCAGGTTGGCAGAACAGAGGGCTCGGGTTGCAGCCCGGGGACCCCATCACCACCAGACAGATACTTTTAAAAAAAAACCCTCCCATTACAGTTATTCCAAAGTCCAAGTGTGATGTTCACATTTCACACACTCTTTCTTACAGTTTTACATAACTTGCTGCAGGTCTTTGTTTGACTCACCCAATGAACTCCAAAAGCAGTGAGACGTCAAGTTCTGGTGGGATTCGAAACACTGATCCCAAGACTTTCCGAGGTCTTCCTCTGCTCACAGGGACTGGCTGTGGAACAGCTAAAGAAATCAAAGTGACCAAAAAATATATCAGCTGCTGAAGTGCACTGTATGTGATATACAAGCCAAACAATGAGGCATAACCACACAGCTCAACTATGACTTTCATTAATTCAGTTCCTAAAAACTACATATTTTGTCTGAGTGCCAATAATGGTATTTTCCTACCATACAGCATACTGTCTCTCTGAACAGTGGTTTATGTCACAATGGGACATAAAAGTCATTTAAAGTATCTTTCAACTTCTAACAGCATCTTTAAAGATCTTATATAATAATTTAATTATCTTATCATTTAAATTATTTCTTACATTAATTAATGCTTAATGAGACAAAAAACGCACACCACACATACATCTTTCCTGGTTCTAGACAAAATATGCATTGTGCAATGGGACAGGCTGAAATCCAACAACAATTTAGATTATTTGTTGAGTGCCGACAATGTGCTTATTGCTGCACAGCACGCAACAAATAAAAACAGCCCCTACCTCTAGGAGTTTAAAACCCTGAAAACAAAGAGGTGGCGTTGACTGGGAAATCCTGAAGCATAGAAGATGATGTATATTTGTTCAGATGTTTTCAGTTATGTTCATTCTCATAGGAATTACCTTAGTGGATCAGACCAATGATCTATCTTGTCCAATATCCTATTTCAAACAAGGGCCAGAACCAGCTACTTAAAGGAAGAAATCTTGTAGTGGGCAATTATAGAATATCATGCCCACAAAAAATTTCCTCTTAAAGCCCAGTAGCTGGAGGTTGGCTTATGCCTCAGAACATATCATGACTAATTATTTTCTTTAGTAGCTTCTCGTGACGGACACTTTGTCAAAGGCCTTTTGCAAATCCAAATAAATTATGCCTACCAGTTCTTACGCATACTATTTTATTGAAATAGTCAAAGAATTCCAATAGATTAGTGAGGGACAATTTTCTTTTGAAGATGCTGTGTTGGATAGATTCTACCATATCATGATCTTCTAGGTGTTCTATACATCTATTTCAAAATCTTCGCAAAATAATAATGTATCAGAAAAGACACTTTGTACTTTTACCCTTTCTTTTCATTAGCTGGGTCTCTGATTAGTTCATTGAACTTCATAATACCCTAGAAAGGTAGAGAAGCACTATAATCTTCATTTTATGTACAGAGAAACAAGCAGAGAAAGCTAAAAGGACTTGACTGATAAATGACTGAAGATTATTCAAGTGAGTAGCAATTAGTATGTCACAGACAAAATACCGTGCATTTCTGAACTCTGTAGTACTGGGAGTTATTTGTTGCATTTTCACATTGTAAGACCATCCCTAGTTTTTATTAAATATCTAAAAGGTCATGATATAGCTTTTACATGCACACACAAAACCAAAACCATTCAAAATAAATCTCAGTAACTTGAAACTGAGACTGCAGATCATTGTGGCATTTCTTCCAATAGGTAACCACTATTACAAAAAGAAAGACTACCGTTAGGAAATACTTAAAACTTTATCTTTTTGTAATTCTGTACTTATTCCCCCAAAGTAAAGTAATTATAAACTCACCAGGTTTGGGTACTTCGAGACCTCTTTCTTTATAGAAATCATGCATCTGCTTTTTCTCTCCTGAAAAAATACAAAATACATTGTAAGCTTGGCTTTGTTACCTATGGCAAATACAATACCTGGCAGTCTAGTTTCCAATAACTGCTTAAAGAATTTACTGGAACAATTCCAATTATTGTTAATAGGGGCTTCCCAGGCATCTGTGAGACAGCAGCCCCCTTAGTGTTTCAAATTAGAGACAAATTGTATTAGATTATGTGCAACAAGTTAGTACTGTAGAGTCTATTAACGAATATAACCAGGACTTGGAAAATTGCCACCGAATACTTTATTTTTGTACCAAATGCTGCATACTATTCCTTATCTTAATCATACCTGAGAAACAGTTACTTTGCTCCAACAGCTTTGAAAAGTTTGTGGACTTTTGTTATTGTAGATATGCAAAAAGAGCTCATGTTTTAATGGCGCTTCAAGCTGATGTAGATGATCAGCCACGATGCGTACTAGCGTGCAAAGCACTCCAGAGAGATAACCCAGATGGCAATTGGTCACATGCATTTATTCAGACAATGCTTGAAAATTATTATATTACCATCACACCATCACCTTTGTTGGCTTATAGCTCAGATTGCTCAACTGAATTCCTTATCAAGGCACTCATTGAACAGCCAATAAATCACTAGAGCCCTGCGCGGATACAAATTTATATCCGTGGAGCTGCAGGGCTCTACTGGGAACCGCAGTGGCAAACTGAGCAGCACGACAGGCCACTGCTCCCAAGAGTCAGCACCCCGCTCCAGAGACTCCTCTGGCATGGCTGTACCAGTCGCAGCCCTGCCCACTGGGGAGGACATCAAGCTCACCGACAGTTGTCAATGGTCACGCTTATGTGTTCAAGCAGCTCGCATGCTCCCAGACAGGAGTCCCTTCCATGCAGTGGTCTGCGTCTCCTGTCTGGGGCAGGGCTGGGCTGGGCTGGGCGCGATACAGCCATGCCGGAGGAGCTGCCAGAGCGAGCAATGGCTGCTGGGAGCGGCAGCCCCATGTGCTGCTCTTTTCGTTGCTGTGGTTCCCAGTAGAGCCCTGCAGCTCCACAGATACTGATTTACAGCTGCAGATATAAATGTGTATCTGCGCAGGACTCTATAAATCATCAGCTAATCCGCCATTCATATCCACACCAGCCTCAACTCACATGCCTTACTACCCCCAAACATCATAACAACCAAATACACTCTCAGACTCTTCAGCACGTACTCTTTCAGTTCTAACATGACCAACCAAAATGCACACATCCAGTTCCTCACAGCAGCACTCAGATGAATGTGGGAAAGCAAAGCTGGGCAGGTGGTATGAGGTGAGAAGGAGGTTAGGCTTGGTACACTACAGAGTTAGGTTGACATAAGGCAGCTTACATCGACCTAATTATGTCAGTGTCTACACTACAATGCTGTTTATGTGGCCCGCTACACTGACATAATAACTCCACCTTCACAAGAGGCATAGAGCTTATGTCGATGTAGTTAGGGCAGTGCAGTGTCTGTGTAGACACTGCATTATTTACAATAGTTGCTGACTATGAGTCCCAAGTGGGCTGACAGCTGGAGCCTTGCCCGCCCCGCCCGGCGCTGACAGCCCAGGGCACAGGCTCACAGCTGTGAGCCTCTCCCCGTTGTGGCACTGACAGCCCAGAGCCTTGCTGTCACCTCCTGGTGAGGGATTTGGTGGTGGGGAGAACTGCCACCCAAGCTCAAGCTCTCTCCCCCTTGTCCCAAATCCCTCACCAGGAAGCAGCAGCAGGGCTCACAGCAGATGCTCTTCCCCTTCCCCCCTAGGGCTAGGGCTGCGGTGAGCCACAAGGGGTACAATTTCACCGCAGGGAGCCTACCAGGAGTGAAATTGACATTCTTGTCAGTTTCACAGCTGCTATTATTTCACATTTTCTCTCTGGCTCCAGCTATCAGCCCTGGAGCCCGGGGGCTCCAGCTGCGAGCCCCACATGGGGCTGACAGCCCCAGGGTAGGGGGAGGGGGCTCCAGCTCTGAGCTCCCTGCAGGCTGACAATTGGCGCCAAAATGTGAAATAATAGCAGCCCTGAAACTGACAAGAATGTCAATTTCACTCCTGGCAGGCTCCCTGCTGTGAAGTTGAGCTCAGTGCAGGCTCACAGCTGGGGCTATCAGCAAGGGGGTGGGAGACAGACTCAGAGCTGTGAATCCGGCACCTGGAAGCTCAGCTGTCGGGCGGAGGGGGGCCCAGCTCTGAGCCTGGCACATGCCTAACAGCTGGGGAGACCAGCTGTGAGCCCGGTGCTTACAGCTGAAGCTGTCAGCCCCAGGGTTGCCGGGCTCCAGCTGTCAGTGTTCCACAAAGCCCCACTTCAGTTGCTGGACACGCACTGCTGACAGAAGGTGCAAGTGTGGACATGAACCACCCCTTTAATTACTGTGGTGGCTGTATATCGACTTAACTCCAATTGACTTAATTTTGTAGAGTAGACAAGCCCTCAGTGTGACAGATATTGCAACCACATGTAGTGTCTCTGGAGACTACTGTATTAATGTTACGAAGGTTCTGTGTATCATTGTGAGCTAGGGACTGTATTCTCCATGGAGAAAGTTACCGTAACTCCTCCAGAAACTAAGAACAGCAGGGAGTGATGACTGCCATCTTTGGGACTGTAAAGAGCTCCAGACAAATACCACCCCAGAGTGTGTGTGTTAGATATACCGTTTCAGACCAGCTTCAAGGGATGCAGAGAAAGGGCAGCTTGAACTGACTGAGGGGCCTTTCTTTTGATTCAACAAACACACCTGACCTTTTGTCCAAAGAGGGACCCAATCCTGTTAAAGGGTTGGAACAACACTGACCTGCCAGACTCCCCCATGGGGGAGACTAGCAACTTCTGGTACATGTAGTATGTGTTTAGACCTTATCGTATGTTTTCTCAGTATGCTTTTGTCCATAAATAAATGTATTCTGTTTTAAGAGAGCTGTTTGGCTACTGGTAACTCGAGCACACGCTGGTCCGTGGCATTGGAGAAAAGGCAAAGAGCAGGGTCTGGACTCCTAGTCAGACCTGCTGGGATAAACACAATGAAGTGCAATGGGGGTTGCCAGCCTAAATGCCTGGTGAGAAGGAGGTGAGTCCCTCACCAGAGAGAGGTGACAGCTAGAGGCCTGAAACTTAAGAGTAGACCACACAGGGGGTCAGTGGTACAGCGACTCCAAAATCATGACACCTGGTTTCTATATGACTAAACAGCACTTCAAGTACTTCCCACTTCAATGATGCTTTGTGCACTCAGGAACCTAAGCCGCTCTCCTTACTCATACCCCAGCTCATTCCCCATGCTCCCTGCTGCCCAAACTGCTCACTGGCTCCATAGGATCAAGGATAGTGGGGAGGGGGCCTGGAGCCGATCTGGTAAGTCAGGAAAGGGGACTTCACAGCATTAGAAAATTGAAGTAATTTACAGAACCAGGCTGTTTCAGGAGCTACTCTTGCTGGAACTAAAATGAGATTATGATGAATTAGGGGAATTAGTTTGTTATATTTAAAAATGTGCAGGTGTGTACATGATGTCTGGAGTTTGTGGCAACTGTGGTTCTTTAGATATAGGGAGCAAAACAAAAAACAAATACAAAAATCCACATACAAGTTACTGTGCGGTCCAAATTTCGAAGAGGGAACATTTTAAAATTTGTCCTCTGCCAATGTTAATAAACCCGTGAGGAAAAAGATATGATGGAACATTCAATTGTCCCCGGAGAGTTAGTGTGCAAAGTTTTGTGCAGAAGGCCTGGAAATTAAATGCAATTACTTAAAACTGGTATACAAGGATTTTACAAATCTCAATAAAAGCTTAATTATGGAATCATAGAAGATATGGGTTGGAAGGGACCTCAGGAAGTCATCTAGTCCAACCCCCTGCTCAAAGCAGGACCAACCCCAACTAAATCATCCCAGCCAGGGCTTTGTCAAGCCAGGCCTTAAAAACCTCTTAGGATGGAGATTCCACCACCTCCCTAGGTAACCCATTCCAGTGCTTCACCACCCTCCTAGTCATTACCATCACCATCATAGTGACTATAGTGGGTGACCTACATCATGTCAGAGGACAGAAGTTTCAGTGTTTTCATGGACTGTGTGTAATAGTATCTTAGCAGCCTGACAAACACCAATCTGTGTGGCTAGTAGGATTTATGGACAACGCAAAACTAGTTTTCACAAAAAACATTTAAGTTTGACCATTTTCAGGAGCCGAAATGCGGAAATACAGTGTTTTGAATTAAAATGGCTACCAGCTTGTCCATTCAAGTCCTTCCTATTCATTAGGACACCAGGGTGGTAATGAAGTGAAAACAGACTTACTCTCCTCCAGATTGACAACCAATTTATACACTATGTCTTGTAACTGTCGATCCAACCTAACAAGAAGAAAAAAAGAGAGGGAATGATCCTTAGTTAGGCAGGACACATTCGCACAATAAGCTACTGAATATTTAATACATTAAAAAAACGTATTGTAACAGATATTGACATCTTTTGGGTGCAATATAAAAACACTTAGATTAATCATAACATTTTTGTAGAGGAGCTAAATATATTGCTGAACACAGTACACACCAACAGGAAAATGACAGATAGAGCACCGAACTCTGTCTGCGTTCAGCTCCCGGCTATAGCATCTCAGGAAAACAAACCACTTAAGCTGAAAATGCATCTTCAGAGAAGGAAGAAGAAATCTGCAGTATATTTTCAAAGCTATCCTCAAGTATCTTAGGCTCGCAATATAGATTTTGTTAAAGTTATACAAAACCAAACGGAAGATTAAGTTTCAAAGTTTGGATTCATCATCATTAGCAGCATTTTGCTACTGACCAAGAACCAGAAAATGAAAGTGACGAGAGACAAAACTAAATACAATGTAGATAAACAAAAAGAGTATAGGGCATACAGTGAATTAGCTTTTAAACTGTTCTTTCAGCTGCAACAATCAATGATTACAGGTCACTCTAAACAAACACAAAGATCGAAATATTACAGGTAAATAAAAATGTTTTAAACCTGAGTTTCTGTAACAGTAAAATAATAAATGAAAATACAGTAATACCAATAACTGAGATACTCTTATTACCTGATATTATAAAGAGGTTGTGTCTGATGTACAACAATGTTGCATTTTGGACATCTGTTACTGTAGTAAAAATGTCTTACTATGCAGCTTTTACAGACTGTACAGGAAAAAAAATGGAAAAGCCCATTATATGTAGCAAATGTTTACTGAAGATAATGCAGGAGTAATTAGCTTGAGACAGTGCTCAGACAACAGCAAGTATATGAAAATAAATTAAGCAAAATTAATTAAGTTAATTTAATTCTTATGTAAACTTTTCACATGTTGGCGACATTCACATTAGAGTGAATTTAAACTCAGCATCAGTTTGATGTGAATTTTTAACCCTAATCCTAAATTCTCTTTAAGCTGTGTGGCCGCGCAGCTGCCTATTAAGCGCTGCGCAGGGGCTCAGGGCTGCGGCGGGGAGAGATGCCTCTCCCCACTGGCCCCAGCACGGACCTGCCGCGGCCAGGCGCCCCTCCCCCCAGCCCCAATACTGACCTGCCCTGGACTTGCCGGGGGCAAGGCACCCCTCCCCCGGCCTCAACACGTACCTGCCCCGGACTTGCCACAGCCGGGGAAGAGACGCTCCTCCCCCGGTCCCCAATCTAGCCCTGGCACAGACCTGCCGTGGCTGGGGGAGAGGCGCCTCTTCCCCACCCCCAAGCCCAGTTGCTGCTGCGGGAAAAGAGAGCTGGGGGGGAGTCCTCTCTCCATGCTGTAGCCCCTGAGCAGCCTGCACCCCAAACCCGTTATCCCCAGTCCCACCTCAGAGCCAGCACCCCTAGCTGGGGCCCTCACCCCCTCTGCACCCCAACCCTGAACCCCTCATCCCTCTCCCCCCACAACCCACACGCCCCCCCCCACTTACCTTCATATTGGTGCACATAAAAAAAAAATGCGTGGGAAAAATTAGAGGGGACACTGCACTAATCCATTCTTCTTTTCAAGGCATTGTACAGCTTTCCCTTGTATTTCAAGCAGCAAACAACCTCATTGGCTGCTACAAGTTAGTGGTGAATTACTAATAGTTTTGGCCTATTATTTTATAAGTTGATTTCTCTGCTTTTATGGACCTTTGTCAGCAACAGAAGTTGGCTGAGAAAAAGATGTCTCTATTCCCCAGTGAGACAAGTTGAATCTCTCTAGTAGCAGGTTTGGTTGAGGAAAGGCTGTTTGGAACATTATAAAGTGCGATCCTCAACCACGCTACCAGACCTATTTAAATAAACCACAGCTTCTGGCCAATCCTGACAGAAAATACAGGAATCTTGAACAGGCATTTCTGGGCCTGCTACAGACAAAAACTTTCTGTTGATCTCCCAGATATACTCAAGAGCCCTCAGTCCAGAGTAAGGAATAAAGCAGCAAATACAAGTATCAGAGGGGTAGCCGTGTTAGTCTGAATCTGTAAAAAGCAACAGAGAGTCCTGTGGCACCTTTAAGACTAACAGATGTATTGGAGCATAAGCTTTCATGGGTGAATGCCCACTTCGTCGGATGCATATAATGGAAATTTCCAGGGGCAGGTATAAATATGCTAGCAAGAATCAGTCTGGAGATAACGAGGTTAGTTCAATCAGGGTGGTAGATCAGGGTCCTGAGTGCTGGAGACAGGCAGAGCCCCCAGCACGATCAGTCAGGAGAAGATGAAATCCCAGTGGAACTGATGCAGAGTTTGGATCCATGCATCAGAACACTAGATTTGTTTATGGACCCTGAGCTACCACCATCACCTGGGAACCCCGACCAGCTCAAGCCTCATGGAAGTGGTGAGATCCCCTTCTTTCAATCTCTGTTTTCTTTTCTACCTCAGGTTTTCAATATATGACTTTTGTAACCTTTAATAATGTAACTGTGATGTTGGTTTAGCCGGCTCCTTGTATAGTTATCACTATTATTCAATAAATAACTTTTATAGTTAAGCTGGTTGCTTCTCCCCCTCTCTCACTCCACTACGTAAAAGGATAAATGGACACAAGTCAGATATCAGGAATGGCAATATACTAAAA